AAACAAAAACTTACAAATTCTTATAAAAACATGCCAACATTTAAGAATATTAAGTTAAAAAATGCATCTCTTAAAATTAGTAGAAAATCAATCTATTTTTTAATAAAATACTACTATAAGTGTCTCATTTTGCATTAAATAAAGTTTAATCAAACTTATTTTTTGGTATGCATTTCCAACTAGTTTATAATAATTAAACCTTTTAAATGGTCTAATAAACATTCATGCTATAATATAAATTCTAATTACTTAAGGACATAGATTGTTGGACAAATACATTGTCAAAAATAATTAGCATATCTTATATCATTGCCTTTAAGTAAATTAATGATGAAATATAAAAGTTTGAAATAATAGAATTTTTCCAACATTAGTAGCTATGCAAACATATTCTTGTTTTCTCCAATTCCTTCAAATAAATACAATTAAAAAAAATACAAATCTATATGGACTTTTTACAAAAATTAAAGGAAGACATTATTTCTTCCTTCTCTGACAAGTTAATTTGAAACAAGCAATTGTTGCATTGGATTTCAATGTTGTAGACAAAACCTTTGACTTAGCATTAATCTAAACTTGTAGACAATCTTTTGAAGGTTCTAAACATAGAAATTCTTTTGGATTTGAATTAGTAAATGAACATAGCAACCAAAAGTGCAAAAAATGTAGAAGTTATAACCAAGTTGCTATCTATTATGTCCTCATGTACTATGTTTGTAAAGCTTTTCTAAGAAGTATGCAAATTCTAATTCTAATAAATGGCAATGATAATTGCAATAAGAAGCAATGAGAGGCAATGAGAGTGGTGTAAATAGAAGTAACAGATTTAGTAGATAGTACTTGTAATTGATAGAAAAAGATAGATATATCTATAAAGGCCATTAATACTAGTAGATAATGTTCTTTTAAGAAAAGAGTGATATCTTGCTAATACATGAAATCATATATATTAGTTAAATATGAAAAATATTTCAAAAATTTATACATAAAAATATTTTTAGAAAGTCAACCAATACATATTAGTAGAAATTTAATCAATTATATAATAAATTAAAATTAAGCATCACTCTTTTATAAATTGGAATTAAATCCATTATTAGATTTCATGGGAAAATACTAATATTTTTATTTTTATTCCATAGATTTATATTTAAAATTATTAAGTAACTAAAAATAGTCAAGGCTATTTCTAATTGAGCCATTGAAGAATATATAATGTAATCTTTATTATATAAAAAGACAAAATAAAAAGTAACAAGTTATTTAACTTCAAACATTTTTGAAGATTACAAATATATGAATAAAATACCTCCATCTTATTAGTTTTTTTTTTTAAAAAAACTATAATTTTGAATTTTAATTTATATTTAGATGTAATAATTATATGTAATATCGAAAATATTTTTTTTCTTTAAAAGAATAAATTTATAGTTTCATGCCAATTTAATAAAGATATTTCCATTAAGTTTAAATAATAGATATAAAATTTATTATCTCAAATATTAATTACTTCATTGACAAAAAAACCATTTGGTTATAAAATAGATATTGGTTTTTAAAATTTTGATATATATATATATATATATATATATAAGAGTCTTTATGTGTTTGCTTCAATTTTAAAATTAATTTAAATCAATTAGGTCATTATGAAGTTATTTAAAAAATGGCCATTTTTTCTTTGAATTAATAAGCATCAAATAATGTTGCTATTGAGTATAAAATTGCTAAATATTATATATGTTCATATTCATATACATGCAGATTATAGCCATAGAAAAAAATATTAATAGATTAAACTGATAAATTTTAAGAATAATACATTAAAAATTATTTTTTTAACTTTTAATATCTGATTAATTAAAATGCGGTTTTAATGAATTTTCATTCTAAGAAATTCTTGCAAAATTATCTTTAACACCTATAACCTTTAGTTTTATCAGTAATATTTTTAAATTTAATATAATTCTGAAATACAACATAATTAAGAATTTTGGCTCATGTTGCCACATATTCTACTTCTTCATTTACTTTCTAATAAAAATGCCACAATTTACAAGTAATATGTTGTAAATGCAGAGAGATTTCAAACATCACTACAACTCCTTGAAAGGAGATGTAACACATTGTGTGGTATGAACCAATCGTATATATAAACATGATCAAGTCCAACCGAAACTGAAGTTGCAATGAATAGAAAGAGAAGATCCACATCAAATGATGAAAAATCTTGAGGGCTGAACGTCACATTACAGATCGCAAACTGATTGTATGGCTTCATTTCACTTCCAAAATCCATAAAGAAGACGCCGACATACCCCAAAAAACATATCCAGAAATACGATCATGACGTGAAATGTGCGGCAACCATGGAAACGAAGGACACGAGGCATGACCTTGAGGAGGAGGAGCAGCAGCAGGAGCAAAATGTCGGCCCTAGTTCTCGGTAGCCCTGCGGAGGTGGAGAACTGATGGCGAGGATGGTTGTAGTGATGGAGGCCAAGCATCTGGATTGGACTTGTTTACTTGTTTGTTTGATAGTTTGGGTGTTTTTGTGTGGTTTGGTTCTGGAACCTTTGCATGTGCATGAGCAGGATGATTGAAGTGTGTGCGGATTGAGCCCAAGCTCGAGGACGACGAGGGCAGCGAGACAAGTGTCGAGGGTGTCGATGTCCACTTGAAAGGAAGGCGGCTGCACTGCACTGGACTCCTACCCTGGTCAACACGCGGAACCCACCTCCCCGGACGGAGCCGATGCTGCGCCCACGAGGTGGTTTGCCTCCGTCCATGGAAATGCACCCTGCGCCGAGCGCCAACAGCCAACGCCCTTGGGACGGCCGAGAATCCGCTGAGATTCCCCAGGTGACGATGTTCCGGTTCAACAGAAGCATTGCAGCCAATGGAGGGCGGCTGACGAAAACGGAGGTTGCAATAAGATTCTAGCGCTTTACCCGGAGCATGGTGGTGATGATACTGAGCAACCCCGCCTCACTGCTCCACCCCAGAGCGCTTTCTGGTCTGGCGCCTATTCTTAGGGACCTGAGCGGGGGAAGTACAGACTTTCCACGAGGCTCCTTAAGGCTGCGTAGTGGGACTAAAAGTTTTGTGGGAGCGGGAAGTCTAGACCCGAGCAGGCGCGTGGAAAGTAGGATCGCAATTGCATGGAAAGCAATGACTTCACCTCCAGTTCTGTCCTCCTTCTGTAACTGGTGCATCAGGCGTGTGACCGACGACGGATTGTACAGGTACGTGGCAGCTCCGATGCATTGCCTCCTCCTCGATCCAGCCATCCATCTCCCCCTCCCTCCCTCCCCGGCTCGTTTGATTCCTTGCTTGCTTTGTTCGCAAGCGGGAAACCGCTGCAGGAGGGACGGCACGTAACTTACCCCAGTGGAATGAAAGCTCTCTCGGTGGGGTCTGTCTCCAGTTACAATCCTCGTGTCTTGAGCTGGCAGCTGGGGTCTAGGATCCCTCATCACTGGGCCCCAGCTGTTGTCTCGGTAGTGGCGCCTCCCTGTGCTTTTCTGTCACTGACGAGCTGAGAGCGATGGAGTCACCAGATGGAGTCATCAGAGTGAACCATCTCTCTCCTCGTGCAGCAGATAAAGGTAGTATGAGAATCGGTGGTGCGATGTCACTAAAGGCATCGGAGATCGTCACCCACAGAAAGAGCTTGGATCGGCCCCATGAAGGATGCACCGTGCTTCAGAGTCTCGAATCCATGCTCTCTCGCGCAGTGTGCATGTGTATGTGATGTGTTTTTCATCAGGGAAAACTTTCCTTGTCCAGAACGAAGCCACGGCCACTACGCTGCTTCATGCATGTGATTGCTTATACTACATTACAATTTTATATTTCATACACAGTCCATGTGAAAAGAAATATTACAGCAATTGTTATAGGGTTGACTGGGATAGTAGCTTTGTTACCATTTTGAAAGAATCAAATAAATTTATATGCTTGATGACATTTCCTGTCTCAGTCTCAATCACACACGATGATTGTGTCAATTTTAGGGCACTATTAATTCCACAACAATTTTTGCTAGTGCTACCACAACGTGCCACCCATTAGATTTTGTATTAGTTTTATTAGTTTTTTATTATATATATTTTCCATTCCAATTAAAAAAATTCAATTAAATGGTTCGGAATTTATTGATTAAAGAAAATTTTATTGATTTGAAAGATTCTGAATAAAAATGGCATACGGTGGATTGGGGATTGTGGTGGCAATAGCAACACCCTAATTTATTGGCTGGACACTTTAAATGCAATGGCCTGTTGTAATGGTAAACATTAAAATCAATCCATGTATGCTATTTAAAATGATTTTTTTTTCTAACTAGTGAATGTACTGGTGGATGCTTTAACATTAATTAGAGAGAAAATAAACATGATTCAAATTGAAATTATCCATCGCATTTTCAATGCTATGGATTGTTGTTAATATCATTATTATTACTCAAATTATGATACATTTGTGGTGTAATAAGAAAATCCACATACAAAGTAATCATATTTCTATCCAGTTCTAGGTTAAGTAAGAGATTCACGCTTAAAAAAAAAAAATTGAGTTCTGAAAATTGAGTTCTAAAGTAATTACCTTCTTGGGTTAAGGTTATTTCTGGAATTATGTTGAATTAGAAACAGAAAACAAGGCATTTTTTGTTTTTGTTTTTGTTTTTTTTTGGTTTTTTTTTCATATTCCCATGAAATTTTATTTATTTATTTATCTATATGTATGTACATAGATATAATTTTTGGAAAACTGAAACTAAAGAAACTGGCGACATACAGCGCACTGTAAGGCAACTTCTGCATCAACTTCAGCAATCCAAAACGCAAGCTCTAGCAAGCATCTATTCCTGTAGAAATGGAAATTTTGCCCGTAGAAACTTTGTAGATCGCACATTCGTGCACATTGAGCCACGTCCTAGCTCAAACGCGACGTGCGAGGCACAACAAAGTCGCAACCGCGGGCGCTTTGAAGGGTGAGAAGAGGAGGAGTAGGATGCATGGGTCCGGGCCATTGGACCAGTGAGCATCTTACACCCAGCAGCGAGGATGCATCAGCAAGGGTACAGCAGCGAGGATTCCAACGCGGAGGCGGAGTTGGAAATGAAGCTAGTGACTGTATGTGGGTACTTTTGTTTAGTTGTTTTTGTTTGATTGTTTATTTGTTGGTATTTTTTAATATTATTTGTGTAGTGTTTCCTTGGGGTGGGGGGATAAGGCGGCTTTCCCAAGTGTGGGGGGCCAATGGCTCGCCGTCTACACGGTCTGCCTCCGTCCACGTCCATCTAGTCCATTTTATTCCCTCGCAGCCAACCCCACCGCGACACCACCCACCCCTGTGCAGCCCGCTCGATCAAGCGCACTCTGTGATGGAGCGACACACCTTAGCCACATTACCCCATCCCATGCCTAGCCCAGATCCATCGAATCATCCTCGATCTGCCCTCACATCCTGCAGGTGCTTCACGTTCCCACAGCACCCAGCTCATGCAACCACCCATAACCCATCCCATTCCGCTGCGCTGCCTGCAGCAGGCTCCCTTGTCACCGCAATCGTCGTCGTCCTAGTCGTCCTCGTCGTTAACGTCATCATCGTCCTCGCTTCGTCATCATCGCCATCATCGTCCTCGGAACGTCTTTTCACCACCTAGTCCTGTGTGGAACTACGCAGTTTGTGTCCCTGTGGGTTGTTGCACGCTTGCGCCTTTGAGGCTTCGAACGACCAAGAGTGTGTCGGCGGCTGCCAGTTTCAGGGAGGGGTTCGTCTCTCTTGTGGGGTATGCTTGTGAGGAGCAAGTCTCATACCTTGGTGCGTACTTAGTTTTTCACAATCCAGCCGTTCTCGGGAGTAATCTATGTATGTGGTGGTTGAGCATGCGCTGGAGATCAAGTTTGAGGTGATTTGGTGAGCACGTAGCCAGTGCTTGAGAGACCGTGGATTCCGAGGGTAGCTGCATGCGGTGTTAGCACGCGTGTATTGACCAGCTGATGACTGCGTCTTGAATTGCAGAGGCAGTGAGCCACCGATGTTCAGAGTATGACCCACGGAGAGGCTGATTTGAAGGATATGTGTTGCAGAACGATTGGGGACCTTATTCTTTGAGAGCCTTGCTTGGAATGGGAGCTGGATTGAAGGTGTTAACAGACCTCGTATTCTCGTGTTTGAGAAAGGATATCAGAAGGGGAATAGGTAGAAGCCATCAAAATGGTGCTTTTAACGGCTTCAAAGGACGGCACGACTGAAGGATCATTGGAAAAGAAGGCGAGGAAATTAGCCTTGGATGGAACAACTATACCTCTGACTCCAGACTCGCCTGGCAAGAAAGCCCTTGAGAAACCTCAGAAGGTCCTGCCTTGTCCGCGATGCGAGTCGATGAACACTAAGTTTTGCTATTACAATAATTACAGTGTAAACCAGCCCAGGCACTTTTGCAGGCAATGCCAGAGATACTGGACAGTCGGGGGTACGCTTCGAAATGTTCCAGTAGGAGGAGGATCCCGGAAGAAGCACCGACATCAGAGGCAGGAGCCTTACATGCGAACAGCTCCTGGCTCCGTTACTAGCCCACTTGCCTTGGCCACCGCGGGAGGGCAACCTGGGATGGCCAACATGGGCTTCCAGCAACTTTTGACACACGACATGTCGGGCTTCAATTTCTCCCAGCTACCAGGTTTCGTACCGCAAACACTTTACCCCGCTTACCCTGTGGATCAGAGCCAAGGAATGTATGCCCAGCCACTGTCGAACAAGTCTACACAACATGAATTTCAGTCCATGCATCCCGCATGTGGTGTGATGAACCCGCAGTCATTGCCAACGGCCACAGGGCACTACTGCGGGACAGATGTTGGTGCTCAGCTGCAAGGCGACAACGGTGTTAATACAAACGGTGCCGCCGGACCAGTGAAGCACGAATTCTGGAGCAACATGATGCCGCAAAACCCCCACCTGCAGGCTGGAAACCATTCTGTGCAATCGCTGTGGGAAGAGTGTAAGGTGACGAGTGGCACTGTTCCGACCACCACAGCTGACTCCGATGCTCGTAAAGCAGGTGCTCTAGTGGATCTGCAAGCTGTCGCGAAGAGTGGCGGATATGATTCGTCGATGCTACTTCACCTGGGGCTCAACACGCGACCACAGGTGAGTGGTAAACCATCTTTTTCGAACCATAATCAGCTGGACTCGAGAGGTGTGGCTCATCCCACAAATGGTTCCTCGCCTCCTCATGGCTCTAGTACGATCGAAGAGGAGGGGAGCACGCCAACCAATGGATACTCGAATAACGGCTATGAAGAGGGTGACACAGTTTCTTCGATGTGGCAAGACATGCACGATATTCATGACATCTTCCAATAGTTCTGGTCGCGAGCCGGAGCCTGAAGGAGTCTGTAAATTACTCGAACTGTACATTGTATCTTGTCATTAGACTGTCATAGGCTTACGCAAATGTCGTGTGCACTTGTGCAAGGCGTCGTGAATTGGATGTTGCAAACACGGATTTGTGAATAGAATTGAGTTAGTTTCATAACTTCATGTGGAGTCTGCCAATGGGCTCTAGCTTGCTATCAGTGTGCAGTAGACCGGCTATGTGAGTGAGGATTGAATGAAATAGTGTAATATAAGCGGGTTTTTGAAAGTATTGGCGTGCAATTACTTGGTTCTAAATCTTAGACTGTCATCGTCGTTGAGCAATTGGGGCTCATCTAGTGCATGACTGACTCTGAAAGTCATAGGGAAGGACCTAAGATTTTTTTTGTATAAGATTCTTTGTTGATCTTCGCGAGTAAATTGCATTTGGATATTTCTACATTCTAATGTCCTGGAGTCGGTCCTGAACATGCAAGAGAATGTCTGTGTGTATATGTGTGTGTGTATGTCTGTGTTTTTCCTCTTCTGTTGCGGTTCTCTGTTCATGTTCATAGATACCGTGGCAAGATGGTGAATTTGCACGTTCTGGAGATTGGCTAATGGTGAAGAATGGAGGGTGGTATTGTTTTAATCTCATATTTTGGTAGGTCTTCTGAATTCCATGCTTAAGCTTTTCGAAATGGTGGCCTGATCCTTATTCTGTACATTTTATCATCAGCTGTGACGGCGACTGCCATGTTCCTTGAAAGGAGGTACTAGTGCCATCATTAAAGCTGTTTCGCAGTAAGACGTTCTATCGCTGGTGGAGATCACCTGGAAGTGTATGAATTACTTATGTCATGGAACACTCACCCGTAGCATGTCATGTAAATGTTCTGTTCTTATATTTCAGCACAGTTGGGTTTACGGTCAGTTACGTTGGGGCGTCACACATTGCAGCTTTAGCATCTTTGAGTGCCACACATGGATGTGTCACTGGGTGTTCAGCAGGACTTGCCAATGGTAGTCTAAGAGTATGTCTGACAGAGGTAGAACTGGAGCCTAACTGCGTCATTTCCATCAACTTAGGATGAATTGTTGCAAGGACATTACAGTGTGCAGGCCAGGTGCTGTGACTCATCCTGCATGGTTTGGGTAACCCCCTACCTAGACTCAGATAACCTATTTCTCAGTCAATCAGAGATTTCAGCAGGTTCAGTCAGCTGGCTCAGAGCACTTGGCTCCTCATGGAGCTTCCTAACATCCCTGTTTCGTAATCTAACTGCCCTTCAAATCGTAAGGCAACTAGGATGTCACATAATAGAGCTAACAGTATATTATGTGTTCACATAATAAAACCATGTATGTCCACTACACAATAAGCAAGGTCACTTTGTATCCAGTCTTTAGAGCTATATGTATTACAAAAGACACATGCACAGGACACCCCTCCTATTGCTCAAACAAGACCACTAGAATTAGTGACCTAAACAACCATTTTGGAATGGCCCTTCCCCTTCCCAGGCTAATACCTAAGATCCTGCTTCCACATCATGCCACCATCTTGTGCTTGTTAGCTAGAATCCTGCACATGAAGCCACAGCCACAAGCATTCCTGCCACTTCTGGGCAGGAACTGCCACTAGTTAGACTGTAAGGAACCTAGTTCCAGTGATGTCCTGAAGTGAGTGCAATGTCACTTATTCAAATGGCTAAAAATTGAAGAGAGAATACATCAAAATATGTCTCATTTACTACAAGTGCTTTTAGAATACTTGTTGGGATTGTTCTCTTTAATTTGTGATGAATATATCATTTTCAAAGATAACACTGATGCATTTCTTAAGATTTGTAACTTGAATATGCCTTGTTAACAAATGTCTTCTCAAATAGCTCATGTCTATTCACATGTCAAGGTTCAAACATGTCTTACCAACTTGTGGGTGGAGGGAGAAAGTTTTTAGAGATGTGTGATGTTCTTGATTCTTCAGTTTTTTTGTGCTCTGGACAATGGCCAAACTTGCAATCCCATGCAGTAATAACTTAACATCATCATTTGTGCATGAAAACATGATGCTTTAGCATATGCTACCTCATGTTGTTAGTACAAGACATAGTGGACACTCATTTTTGCAAAATATGTATATATATATATATATATATATATATGCAACAATTGCAAATCAAAGCAATTAAGAACTTTCCTATGTTGCTTAAATAATTTTGTGTTTTATAAAGTTTATTCTCTTTTTAATGTAAAACAAGTAATTTATGTTAAAAAAACATACAAAAAATCATACATACATAAGAAACATACACAAAGTTATTTTCATTAAGATTTAAAATCATGGTTGTGTTGTGGAGGCACTATCCTACTTTTCTTGCTAAAGGGTGACTGAAAAGGCATCCATGCCTCCCCTTTGAATCTTTATAAATACATTCAATAAATGGTGGGCACACTTGTTATAATACCTATGTATTTAGTAAACCTTGGATTATGTTTTTGTACATGCAAAGATTTCCTTACATTAAATCTCACTAATTAAAAACAAATTCTTTCATACATGCTAAAATGTAGCAATGCATGTATTATTAACCAAGATTTCTTATTTCTATTTTTTGACAAAGATATTTTCAATGACTTAACACAAGTAAATCTTAAGCTAGTATTCTAGTTTAATCAATATCAGAAACGCTCAACAAAAATAATCCTTAATGATTAAGATTATTACCAATGTAATCAAATTAGCCAATTTTTTTTTGAAATTCATTACTCTTAGTTACATTAAAGAATAAAAAATATGTATTTTTAATGTGATTCTATGTGATTTTAAAATTGAAAAAAAAAGTCATTCCCTTTAAAAAAGACGTCTGTGCAAAAAAATAAAAAATAAATAGTAATTACATTCAAATTTAAGCTTAGCATGTGGTGTTAAAATGGTCAAGTTGTCTTGTCTAAGAATTTGTTGCCATACATGATTTCATAATATTACCTTCATTAGAAAAGTCTTAAATATTTTGGCCTGACTTCTTTTGGTGACAATGATTCTTTTGTTATTCAATTGATTAATTAATACTTACAGCCTATAATGGATTGTATATCATTCTATAAGGTGGTTTAAGCTATTGATAAAACCAATCCAGTAATCAGTAATCAATTACAATAGTTGGGCTGCCTTAAATACTATTTTTAGTATAACGGTTTTTTTCTTTTTCATGATTTTAAATAGAATTTATCATTTATTATTTTGTAGAGACAATATGTTGTTTTATACAAAACATTATATTGGACATATTTCTTGAAGACAATAAGGTAATTCAAACAATTTTTTTTTTTTTTTTTTTTTTATTGTTCACTTGTTTTGCAATAATAATAAGGATTAGGCTACAAACACACCCTAAGTTGCTATACACACATCCAAAATTAGAGATGTCTAATTGGCTTCTTATTTTGTGAAGTGTAATATCTATTATTACTATGGAGATCCTGTTGATTAGTTAGGGGCAAGGTGAAGGGGCAGCAACCTTGCTTGGGTTTGATTTTAACTTTGTCTCCCTAGTCTTGCCACAATTCATAGTATTCAAGTAAGTTCTTCTACCTCAACTCTCTATTCCTACACTTCATTTTATTGTCCATGTGCACATTGTTGGCATGCAAGTCTGAGAAGATTGTAAAAAATACATAGCAAATACATATTTAGACTTGAATTCTTGTTGATAGTACATGTCATATTTCAAACCTTGTTTGGATGGTATATATATACTTCGTAGTCTCACGGATGGTACTAAACCTTTTGAGTAGCTAATTACAACTGTGAAGAGACTTTATGATGTTAAATTTCAACTAAATTCAGACTTAGAAACATGCAATCAAGCTTCAACAAATTTTCTTTTGTAAACTAGATTGCAAGCATGAGTTGTTTAGGTTTGTTTCTTCTTGGTTCAATGAAAGTATGATTTCGATGCTTATTACTATCACTTTGATTTATATCATGAAGCAAAAGCTGAATTGGATTTGTTTTGTGAATCGGCATTGAAGACAAACAATTTATGTTCTATACATTCTTTCCTTATTGTCCACTGCTGAAAAGATTTATGGCTGCTGAAAATGTGACTAAATATTCTGGAGAATCATGTGGAGAGAACATCTCAATAACCAAATATCTAAGTGGCTTAGGTCAAAGACAACAATATTGTGGATGTTAGTGAGGATTTGAGTATGTGTTGATTTATAATTGGTGAGGAAAGACTTGCTCCAAAATTAAGAGTCGTAGAGGGACTAGAAAGACAAAGTTAAAATCAAACAAAGAAATCCAAATACAGACACTACTCCTTCATCCACCTGCTGACCAATTTGTGAAACTATTGGAAGAAAAGACAATAGAAACCTTGTAATAGTGGCAGGTGTCAATCCCTACAAAATAAACAACCAATTGAAGGTCTTTAATTTTTTGGGTGTGTGTAGCAACTTGGGATGTGTGTATACCAACTTAAGATGTGTGTTCAACAACTTAGGATGTGCTTGTAGCTTGAGCCTAATAAGGATTGTAGTTCTAAAACACATCGTCCAATTGGATTAATTTTATTGTTTATATTTATATTCTTTTCTCTTTGTTATATTTTTATTTTATTCTATTATTATGTCTTATATATTAAAATTTATGCTATTTGTAAAATATTAAAGCATTTATTTTTTAAAGTTTTATAACAAAAAGAAAACTACAACCAAAAGACTTTTGATTATTACACAATTAATTATTATTACTATTTTTCCTTGTCAAAGAATTTAATTGTCTTGCAAAATTGATTATTGCCTTCTTTTTTGTATAACAAAAACGTCATAAAATAACTGATGGTAGGAAAATCGCAACTTTTTTGTGCAAAGAAAAAGAATGCGAGGATTAGGCAACAATTTGAAGAGCGCTGGATGTCAAGGAAAAGAACCTTAGAAATGTTGAGCATGCAATTGAGCAAAGAGTGAGCACGAATGTGAAACAAAACATGAATCCAGGTGGGGATATGGGCAACGGAATGCTGCAGGGCAGAGTTGCGATGGAGCAGTAAAGAACAGAAGCAGGCTGTCAAAAATCCATAGGAATCGAAACAAAACCAGTGCAGGAAGCAGCACCAACCAAATTGGGGCGTGGCAAAAAAGGGAAGATCTACAAGACGTTGCACGTACCCCCCCCCCCCCCCTCTGCACCCAATAGCAACATGAATTCGCATCAATGCATTTTCATGTCCACTTTCCTATCTATCTATCTATCTATCTATCTATCAATATATATATATATATATATATATATTTGTGTGTGTGTGTGTGTGAGAGTGAAGTATCAGAGGTGGGGGAAAAGGGAAAGGACGAGAGCCAGAGCGCGGGAGGGATGCGGCCACTCGCCTGGCGCAGCGTTGGAAACATGAGAGGAGCTGATTTGCTCGCAGCGGGTCTCCTCGAAGTTGTGC